GCTCGCTCCGCCCCCCCCCGCAGCGCGTCCAGGCCGCGGCCCGCCGACGGCACAGCCTCCACCCAGGGCTCTCCTAGCGCTGACGTCGCCGCCGCCGCACCAGCTCCAGGGAAGGGCGGAGCGAGAGGGGGCAGGGTGGGGCGGAGCTACGGAGACGTACGGGCGCGGGGATTGGCCGTCGAGCGCACGCCCCGCCCTTCTGCGAAGGGGTCTGGGAAGTCGGGTGCTCTATGAGCTGTAGAAGCAGCCCGCTTGCGGCTCCTGAGTGCTGGACGTCGCCTTCCTGGTTCTGCCGTATGGTCTTGCGTTAGCTTCTGGATCTTGAGAGGGACTAAAGCATTGAAGTAGCAGGGACTGAGGCTGGGGGCGCCTTATAGACCTTTGTCTGAGGGGCAGGCTCTAACCCTGCAGGAGTATTTTGGCCTCTAGCCTGCTTTCCGTTCTTTTATTCTCCCTCTTCTCGCCCCTCCCCCCATACTCTCTTTACTCAGTATCTCTCTGGCCTTCACGAAAGGAAACACGGCAAGATGAGGTCTGCGAACGGGTGCTGGGTAACCAGATATGTGAACCAGGAAGGGCTGAAAACCCAGTTAGTGTTACCACAAAGCCTCCTGTAGGCACACGTGATCTTTGGTTCTGTCATTACTTCAGTGCAGTCAGGCAACGGCAGGAAGAGCTTCCTCAAGGCTTTGTAAAAGTCGTCTCTCTTTTAGTTGGCTAAAGGACTTTGAATCCGAAAGCTGTCAGTGGATTAGAGGGCGGAGCCTTCGAGCCACTGAGGCAACCCCACAGCAGTCAGGAGGTGGGGTAAGGTCTTGGCTTTACTGGCGTTAATCATCATCCACAATGCCTGGTTTGAGGGTGAGAAAGCTATCCTTCCTTTAAATGCGCTCCTCAGGCAGTTCTTTAGTGCCTTTTAGCATAGCTGTTAGGAGTGTGGGCTCTGGGCTGTAATCTTGGTCCGTCGGCCAATTAGCTCTGTAACTGTGGCAAGTTACTTAAAATGCCTGGGAGAAATAATAAGCTATGTAAGTTATTGTTATTTTTCCTTTAATTTGTTTAGATTCAGTTCCAGTGTAGTTTGGCATGATATGCTATTAATAGATCCAAAAGAATCTTGCAAAAGAATTTAAACAGATCTAGTGATTCTTATCCAAACCTCTCATTTTTCAGATGAGAAAACTGAGGTCAGAAAGATAAACTGATAGGCCCATGCTAGAAGTGCCAGTATCCTGATGTCCAGGTTAGTACTCTTTCCCTGGCCCATGCCTCCAGGCTTCTCTCTCCCTTACCTCCCTACCTCCATCCTCTTCTCTCTTCCCCAGCCTGTATATAGTTATTGCCTGGCCTAACCCTCTTCCCTTTCACAGCCACTGTAAAACAAGGAAAGAAAGACTCTTCCAGGGGTCACAGTATTCCAAATAGAAAGCAAAACAAAGCAAAAAAACTCAGGCTTCCTTATCTTATTTTAATTTTATTGAAATTTATAATGAATAAGGAATAACATTTTTCCAGTCAGCAAAGATAAGGAATCCTTCCAAGGATAAATTCAGCCACAGCATGTCAAAGAAAATTACTGGAGAGAAGGAATGTTGATATGAACAATACCAGATCAAATCAGCCCCTTCCACCCTTTTGGGTATTTTTGAAAACAGCTATTATTTTCATGAAAATGATACATACTTATTCAAACAAATACCAAAAAATTTGTCCAAATCCCATAATCCAGAGATAGCCATTTTTAAGTTTGTGTTACATTCTTCCAGACATAAAGAATAAAAAACATAGACATATAAATACAATATTTCATAACTGGATCTTACTATGTACACAGTTCTTTTCTCACTGAACGATATATCATGAATAACATCATTTTAAAAAGTTGTAATGTCCATTAAGTGGATGTGCCATCATTTATCTAATCAGTATTCTATTGATTGACATTTATGTTTTTTCCCAAATTTCTAATATTATAAACAACTCGGATGAACTTCTTTATGCATGTACTTTTGCACAACTGTGCAATTATCTCCTTGGACAAATTCCTAGAAGTGACATTAATCTCAGCCAATTCTTCAATGTTATCAACTAGAAAAAGGAAAAGTTGTGGTTACTTCGAAAAATAGACTTTATATGTGGGACTCAAAACAACCAGATTCTCCCATTTGAAACACGGATAAACCTTGGATAGTATGGTTGTCTGTCTGGTGTGGTGTTTCAATAATGTGTGTGAAAACTCTTGGAGCAGAATGATGTGTGCCAACTCTTCTTGGAGAGGGGTGGTAGACACTGCTAGTTGTTTAAACCAATATCCTTTCTTCCTTACTAGTAGAACTCTGATTTTTTTCAGGGCGACAGTATGTGCAGTTAAAAGTATTTACCCAGACTCCTGTAAGCCATGGTTGGCAAGGTGACCCTCAAATGAAATGAAAGTGGATGTTGCCAGGAGAGGCTCAAAGCTTTATGGAAGAAATGTCCTTTTAGTCATGACCTGTACTCATCCTTTTTCTTACCTGGAACAATGAGATGAAGCTGGAGGTGGAGCAGCCATATTTCAACCATAATTACAAAAGCCACACACACTGTTAATAGTGTGGGAAGCCAGAGGTGCCTGGGTTCATGATTGCTTTGGAGGGCCAGCTTACCAGCTCTGGACAGCCTATTTCTGGATTTGTTGTTACGTGAGGAAAAATAAATCCCTCCTATTTAAGGTTTTGTTGTTTGGGTTTTCTTTTATAAGCACTGAATGCAATTCCTAATTGATATAATAAGATAGGAAAAGTCATCATTTATTTAGCAGTAGATGTATAATTTTTTAATAGAGTGACATGAAAATGGGGATACATAATGGAAACAAACAAGCAGCAACAACACAAAACACTCTCTAATATGCTTAGTTTCCCTTTCAATACCCAAATAGTGTCAAAATTAGATTAACAAATCATTTTGTAATGATTAGATTAAATTCTGTAAGTTAAATTTTATTCACTGGTATAGTAGTTTTAAAATATATCCAGAAGTTCTTTGATGCTTCTTCCTTCAAAAGGTAGAGCTTATGTTCCCTCACCTTAAGTTTGGACTATACCTAGTGACTTGTTCTCATGAATAGAATGTAGAAATGACATAGTATGACTTCTTAGGGGAGATTATAAAACATATGCCAATTTTCTTCTTGTTCTCTCCCTGGGGTTGCCTGCTGGGGAAAGATAGTTGTCATGTTAAGGACACTGAGGTGACTTATAAAGAGGCCCACGTTATGAGTAATCGAGGCTTCCAGCCAATAGACAGTGAGGAGCTGAGGACTCCTGAAAACAGCCATGCGAGTGAACTTGAAAGCAGATCCTCTAGCCCTAGTCAAGCCTTCAGATGACTGCATCTGTCATCAACATCTTTACTATACCTCAGGAGAGAGCCTGAGTCAGAACCACTCAGCTAAGCCACTCCCAAATTCCTAGCCCACAGAAACTGTGAGATAAGAAATGTTATTTTAAGCCACTAAGTTTTGGGATCATTTCTTATGCAGCAAATATAACTAATACAGCTGGGGATAACAGAGCCTAGTACAATGCCTGGCACATATGTAGGTGTTTAATTATTTGTTGTTTGAATGAATAAACAATGGAATGAAGTAGAATATATCTTTTTCACTTTTTTTCATCCAACAAGAAGCCATAACTTTATTAATTATAGAAACAGTACAAATTTTAAACCACACTGCAGATACTCTTTTGAAACACCAAAAAAAGGTCCTCATTTTCAGATGGTTACATTGTTAATTCCATAATAGCATTTACAATATTATTACTGTTGTTCTTCAGGGCTCAGATGCCTTTGCTCTTGACACATTTGCTTGTGATGTGACCAATTCTATGTCCTTAACCTCCACATCTATTTCATCAACCTCTTCCTCTTCACTCTCCTCTTGTATAGTTGGAGTCCGTGTGTTTTCTTGAATGTTTGAGACACTTCACCTTGAACTTTCAATGTCTCAACAGCTGCCAGCTGTGCTTGGTAAGCTGAAACCTCGATCTTGGCTTACCCCAAAACTATGTAGGTATCTGAAGCTGGACTCTTGTAGACATCTGGTTTTGTGATGACAAAGAGGATATTCTTAGATTTCCAGATAGTGGCTCTAATAACCCCTGTAACCTGTCGAAGACCCAATTTGGACATAGCCTTCTGTGCCTCCTTTTCATTCCAGCTCTGTTTTGCTTTACTGATTGGTTCTTCGTGGATTTCAGCTGCCGCCACCAGCTGGGCTTGTTGTGTGGTTGCCTGTGTGGAATCCTGTTCCTCGAGCTCTGGTACTGATTCATCACTGTCAGATTCTGTTCCAGACCCTGTCTCAGCCTGGGGCTATGGCAACTCCTGCTCTGTAGCAGGAATGGTTTCTGTGGCTTCACCTGGCATTTTGTGCAAGGAGTGCGGAACCTATCTTTTTCACTTTAAAGAGTAACATACAATGCTGGTATTATCTTTGATCTCTGACACCTGTGTTATATGAAATTTTCTGACGTGATCATAGATCACTTGTGAGTCTTACTGAGATCCTAGCATCAGCAATCCTGGAAGAAACATATAGTGAATAGAGCAATGGAATCCTTGAGACTTGACTAATGCTCCCAGTTTTATCACTGATTAGCTGAGTGGCTCATGGCAAGTCACCTAAGCCCTCTAAATCTCAATTTCCCTACCCATAGATTGGGGAAAATAATCCCAACCTGCCTCAAAAGGCAGTCAATGAAATTATGTGTGACACAGTGTAATTGTAAAGCATTAACATGCTTTTAATTACATTAGGCTCGTGAGGTCTATCTTATTTTATTTTTAAGCAATTATGCATTAAATATTTTAGGTGTGCACACCATGAAGACTTTTCTTCAAGAGATGATAA